TGTGATCGAAATACAGGTGTTCCTATACAAGTGGTGAAATTTTTGTGTTAAAATATAAATAACATAAAAAGAAAAAAAAATTCTCCACTTATATAATAATACGTGATGTACTACTTATGTTTATTAAATTACCATGTTGAGATTATACTAGTTAGATAAATACTAAGAAGAGTTTCTCCAAAGCGAGATTTTTCATGGACTTTCTGTCATCTTGGCACAGTATTTCATTATATTGAAACGAAAAATGACGTTAAACTATGAGATAACCGAAAGTTTTATGCTTATATTGTCATCATTATCACTAGCAGCTGGCAGAATATGACTGCCAGAAAGCAGTAAAATATATATAAATTATAAAGATACATACTAGTGGTATATAAAACATCTAACATAGGTTAAACCAGAATGTAAAACAAACAAATTAATATTTGGAATTTGGAGAGGAACAAGCTAAGGTACTGACACGATAGCGTGAAGGCGTGGAGTCAAAATATGCGGATGCGGATGCGGCTCCCGTGTCTGCATGCAAATTTAAGAAATCAAGCTAGCTTCAGTTTGTTTGTTGGGTATCATCGGCGTGGGTGTCATTTTTGTCCATTTCTTAAATTTATATGGAACAGGTCTAAGGTCTCACGTGTTCTTCTCGTTTATCTTGCTATATATCATTTTATATAACAGAAAAGGTTACGTTCAATTTCCCTCATTCTTTATCTTTATAACAAAATATATGAAAATTGCAGTCCCATGTTGATTAGAACACGCACTTGAGTTCGAGTTTCTTTTTTCTTTTCGTACAATTAGATGAATTTATGTTCATAACTCTTAGACCCACTATAGTCCACTATAGACACTGATATTAATATTAACTTAATAACTTATTTTTAGGTGTGAAGTTTTGTTACAAAAGACCTCCATAATATTAGGAGTGAAATATCTCATGCATTTAATTGTACATTATGTTATCATATACTCGATGTAGAAATTTATTCTCAAAGATGGAATATAAAACAAAAACACACATGTAAACTAAACTCTTGGAATTAGCTTAAGTAATGGAAGTAAACCGGAAAATATATATGAAAAGATTAGACAAATCCAAGGGTTTAATTTCCTTCACTTATATAGAGTAGTGTTATTCACACACTCGTTTTTACCTCCTACACACTTTTGTTAATTTTTGTCCACTAATCTTATTTAATTCATTTGCTAACAGCCAGAAATTAAGAATAGCTTGTAAGAGGTAAAAATAAACGTATGAATAACATCACTTAAGACATAAATACATGAAAAATTTGTAGACAATTTTACATGGGGCCTACTCACATGATAAAACATGTACGGTGCCATTTCACCTTTATCAAAATCTAATAAACTAAAGAGAGATGCCACTTCTTTCACCCAAAAAAAAAAGAAGAAGAGGTTGCCACTTTACCAAAAGTAGCGAAGATAAGAAGGAAAAACACTGAAAAAGAATGGAGATGCTGTCGTTCGTTCTTTTCTAAAAGTGAACTCAAATGTTCTGGACAAATTTCAGAGTTTTCCACATAAAAGGGCACATCCAAATGCAGGCTTTTTCATGTAGAAGGCATATCCGTTCATGCTTACTCAAGAGTACTTCTTTGGCCTTTAACTACTATACCTAGTGTTGAATGATTATGTCTCACATTAGTTTACCTTTTAACCTACCCAAAACAGAAAACAAATACTAATAATTTGACCTTAATTTATCTTTTCCTCTCTAACAAAACAATATATTTTAATTTACAGAGAAAAGATTAGAACTCAAGGGTAAAGACGAGAGCACACTGTCTTTTATCCTGATTAACTGGCTAATTCACATGCAACAAAAGTAAAAGGTGATAAATGGGTTTACATGGTTGAGTTAAAGATGATTTCATACCAATGAAGCCTGCAAATGCACAATTTAATTATAATTAGTTTCAGAAATTTAAAATAAAAAGTAAAATGTTACTCAACTACCCTGGTAACATTCATACATATTCATCTTTGTTTTCTTTTTCTTATTTTTTTGGATTAGTCAGTAGACTGAACTATCATTCAATCGAAACAAAACGCATGCATACAATAACCTAGCAGCAGGCCGTTAGGCCTCGACGGGTAGCATGTATCTGTCCTCCTTTACATGTGTGTGTGCAAAGCGTTCCCAATAACTGGCGATATAGATTATCACTATTATCTTGGTCAGCAATGCTTTGATCCTATCATAAAATCATACTAGTAAGTCATACTAATTCTAGTTAAAAGCACATGAATAATATACAATTAGAGTATCAAATGACATCTTTTACTACATTTTAGTAATATTTTACTTCATTTATAAGTAAAAGATCATATGTTTGATTCAGTAGATGATGAATTTGACACTAAATTATTATGAAAAGCTCATTCTGTGATTTAGCACAATTTTTCATCTTTTAGTATAAATATATCGTTGTATTAAAAAATTTCAAATAAAATGAAGAAGAAGAGCAACCAAATTGATAGAGGAAAATTTGGTTAGTGCCCTTTTCGACAAAAATCACTAGGAAGATAGGGCCAAACTACAACATGCCTTCTACCATTTTCCCAATCCATGTTCTGTAATAGGGCCAAGTTTCATTATATACCTAAATACTTGCTGCATATTCTTTTTCTCTTTTTTGTTCTTTCTTCAGATTTGATACTGTTCTACTACTTGTGTATGTAAATGGTGATTTGGCTGTATATATATAGCATTTGGTACATTGTTGATATTAATTATGCCGATATTACCAGATTTAATATAATTTAGACAATGTACTAGATATTATAAATTAACGCCATACAATAAACTCTCTTTTTCCAATTATATTTTAACTGACTACTAAGATTAATATTTATATCATATTCATACATTCATTTCAGGTGCGGGAGTTTTTGGGCATTTGTCAGACTCGTTTTTAGGAAGAAAAGGCTCCCTAACCGTTGTTTGCATCTTGAACACCATCTTCGGTTGTCTAACGGCACTCTCCCCAAACTACTGGACCTACGTCCTCTTCCGCCTCCTCACCGGCTTCAGCACAGGGGGGGTCGGCCTCTGCGCCTTCGTCCTTGCTACTGAACCTGTCGGTCCTACAAAGCGTGGTGCAGCAGGAATGTCCACGTTCTACTTCTTCTCAACCGGGATTGCAATCCTCTCTTGCGTTGCGTATATTTTCCCACAGTGGCGCGAACTCTACATTGCCTCCTCAATCCCATCATTGCTCTTCTTGCTCGTTGTCCTACCATTTGTCTCTGAGTCCCCAAGGTGGTACCTCGTACGAGGAAGAATATTGGAAGCCATGAAACTAATGCGCATGATTGCAAAGTCCAACAAGAACCACCTTCCTGAGGGAGTTGTCCTAACCCTAGATGAAGAAGTAAGTAATGATACTAGTACTACAAATGAGGATGATCAAACGTACAAGGAACTATTGGAGAGCACAGAAGCAATAAGTGGTTCTCTAATTGATGTGCTAAAGTCACCAGTTACCCGAATCCGGTTATTCCTAGCTGTGGCCATAAATTTCTTGTGCTCGGTCGTGTACTATGGTTTGAGCTTGAACGTTGTCAACCTCGAAACGAACCTCTATATCAACGTGTTACTCAACGCCGTGGCGGAAATGCCAGCTTTCACAATCACAGAAATCTTACTAGACAAGTATGGAAGGAAGCCATTAGCAATTGGGACGCTATGGTTTAGTGGGGTGTTTTGTTTTGTTGGGAGCTTGGTAGGGAATGTTGGGATGTGGAAAGTTGTTCGGATGGTGTGCGGGATTTTGGGGATTTTTGGGATGGCGGGGACTTACAATTTGCTTTTTATTTACACCATGGAGTTGTTTCCAACTGTGGTGAGGAATGCAGCGCTTGGATGTGCCACACAAGCCGCACAAATGGGGGCGATTTTGGCCCCGTTTGTGGTGGTTCTGGGCGGGGGTTTGCCATTTTCAGTGTTTGCCGTGTGTGGTGTTGTGGGTGGAATGTTTGCATTTTATTTGCCGGAGACGTTGAATAAGCCTTTGTATGATACAATGGCTGGGATGGAGGATAAGGAGGGTGCTTGCATAAGTGTGTGAATTTGTCACTTCTCTTCATGTGCCTTTTTTTTTTTGTTTTTGGGGTGAAGTTCCTTTTAGCTAGTAGTTGACAATTATAAATGTTTGCTATGATTGGGCTTGACCATCATCGATCCGTCTATTAGACTTTCCCAATCCTTGTGGCAAAAATGTGAATCCCTCCAAATTTTAGTCAACAGAAAACCTAATGAACTAGATTACGCACTAGACTATGAGTCACTCTGTTAAGTTGGTGGTTCATTTGACGATCTACGGCTGCTCAGCTTATTTATCTCTAGTCTTGCAGGCTCAATGAAAATTGAAACGATATTTCTAATCCTGCTTTACACTTAATTTATACGTTAAATGTAAACCAGTGTTGCCGGTCCATGATGATATGATATCCAACAGTTTACCATGCATGAACATCTGCGGTTCTGCATCAACTCCTAATACCATACACCTTGGACAGACTAAGTAGTGATGTGATATAGGAAACCTTGTTTGAAGAATGTTCGAAGGTTCTGTATTAATTTTGGATTCTCTTCTTTTTTCGTGAAATTTGAAATTTTGATTTTTCTTTTGTTATCGTTAGATTTGAATTTGAGATCTTTTACTTTTGAAGAGATAATTTTAGATTAAAATTGTTGTCTTACGAGCAATATTATCTACCCTAAATTGATTTGTGGGAAGAAGAATTTAAATTTAAGTACAAAAAGAGATCAAGCTCTGCTCTAGTCTACGTCGATACATACACATCTGCAATTACTCTAAAATTATTAGGTGAGAACAAATGTCACGTCATTGTCCACGTTGTTTTGGATTTTAAAAATGTCATGTATTATTATAATTGCTAAGATGTTTTTAATTAAGCTAAATAAATAAATAAAAACTCAAAAGTGGTTATTAAAATTAAAAACAAAACAATTTCCAATTAAACTTATTTTCCAGTCTATCATTGAATTATGAAACATAAGCCAAATGCAAGTTGGATGAACAATAGGGAAATCTGAACACATAAATGGAAAATATACAAAATTACAAATGCATGCACTATTCGAGTACAATGGTACAATACAATGGTACACACTCTCTCGCTTCATGATCCCAACCCAGTTTCGAACGTGAATAACTGTCTGTTAATGCAAGTTTCATCCCATGATTTCAAAACATAAAAGGCGTCGGAGAGAACGCCGGAATCGCAAATGAAGCTTGCCTGAAAAAAAATCCCATACAAAATGTAACCATTCAATTTTACAACCAATAATAACGGAAATGATAATTAATTTAATTTATTAAATTTCAATCTTTTTCAAGGATTAAAGTTATAAAAAAATTATAAAAAAAAAAACCCTTATTAAATCTCATTATCTGAAAAAAAGAGTGAAGTATATGGGAAAAATGGGGGTGTGGTTAACATTTTCCTAATAGCAAAACATCCGAAGATTTTACTATTTTGCTATTTACTATATGTTTACTATTTACGTACCCGTAATCTTCGCCGTGGCTGCGGACCTGAACTCTTGTTCGATCCTGACCGCTCTTCCTCTTTACGGCTCTCTCAATCGCAGCTGTTCGATCCACAACCTTCGCAGCAACGTTATCCTCGGAAATTGAGCTCAGCGACGGCGTCCAATCGGACGAATTTACGGAGCTCCCGCGCTTTCTTCTGCGGCGTAGTATTCGGCTGGGTGCCCTCACCAGCGATCTCGTCTCCTCTGAGAGCGGAGCCGGCTCGCTGTTGGATGTTGTGGGGCGAGTGGCCCCGCAGCACGGGACAAACTCCAACAAGAACTTCATGGCGCAATTTTTCTGTTACGATGTCGATGTGCGTTACCTGAGAATTGTGTGAAAGAGGGGCTCGGAATTGTTGAGGTTTACGGTTTGTGACGTTGGCGGGATATCACGTCCGTCATGGTTATTTGGGTTTCAGGCTGAAGAGACAGAAGAGTTTGGAGAGTGGACTTTGTTTCTGGCTCTCCTCTGGTTTTGGTGGGAGAGCGAGGATTTTAATATGCGTTTGGTTTGGGAGGATGTGTAGGGTTTTATCCGAATTCTTGTGGAAAAAAAAATATTGCAATAGAAGATTGTGGAAAGAGGAAGCATAGAAAATACATAGAGCCCCATGATTTTGATCCATATCAATTCAAATCTACTTCTTAATTATAAAATAATTTTTTTGAGAAAAATAAATAATTTTTTAATGGGTAGGAAATGTAAGTAAAATCGTATTTCATAGTGCAGTTGGCATAAAAGGGAGAAAATTTTTATTGTAATCGGAACACAGATAATACATCACATGTTTTTATATAAGTGGTTCAAAATTTTATTTTTTAAGTTATTAATTTTTTAGAACACATATCCCACTATTTATATAATAATAAATAATGTACTAATCCTTATTCCAGTTACATTGAAAAATCTCTTCATAAAAAGGAGTTTAAATGAGTATCATTTATATTTATATTTATATTTTTTTTAATACAGCGATATTTTTAGAAAATGAGATCAGCTAAACCATAAATTAGCGGCCTAATTACCATTTTTTTTTTTTTGTCAAAGCCTAATTAACAATTGAAGAATGAAAAAAATGAGTGGTTTTGGACACATCTCATAATTCTTCTTTTTTCTTCAAAAAAAAAAGGGGGGACAATTGGTGACAAACCACGATAATCCACCTCTTTTTTGAACTGGAGAGGTTATGAAAAATTTCACCCTGTGTATGATCATAGTCAAGTAGACTCACCAACTTAAAGCATCGAACAGAGAGCTCTTGTACCTGAAAAATCAATGAAATTACTATGAGCAGTTGTTTATTTCATATTCAAATTCTCCATATTAAAAGGCACGGCAAATCAATTAACATAATAACATGTGAAAGATTTTCGAAGTTAAAAGACATGTTTATTTTTAAATGACACAACACGTATATTTATATTTATATACATGTAATGAACCTTTTAAATACTTCGTACAATTACTTACAAACAACACGAACATATATAATTTATTAAATTTTGTATATTTGGAATGAGAAAGTGACTTGTAAGTGCCACTTTTCCTATTCAAAATGCGTCAGTTAATATTAGGTTGATTTGTAATTTGCTTTTATCAGTCCTGGACTCGTGGTGGGTAGTAACTATTAAGTCGAGTTATGAGCTAATAAATCAATATATGATTTTGGTTTTCTCAAAAAAAATATAATTTTGGTGACTTAATTTCTTTCCTTCCTTGACATAATCAACCCAACCATATGACCTTATTCTTTTGGCGAAATTCCCCTATTTACAATAAAGCAATTTGTACTGAACGGATTCACATGCCTCCAAGTAGCATTCCAATTCAATAATTAAAAATCATTTAAAGAAAGTCTTACGTATATTTTATTATTGAATGATGACGTATTATTAAAAATGAAACTGTTTCATATACGTCTTTCTCTTAATTACAATGCTACTTAATTAATAGGGAATGACAGGGAGTGTAGAGTGTAGTGCACCTCTATGACGACGCTGTCTATACAGAAAATATGACATTTTCAATTTGATCATGTTTTATAAAACTCTGGTGGGAAGATAAATTTCAAGATGTTCGGGGGCTACATGATTTGTTTCTAATAAAATATTGTGGAAAGAGGAAGTATTGAAAACACATAGAGCCCCATGATTGTGATCCATATCAATTCAAATCTACTTCTTAATTATAAAATAATTTTTTGTTAATGGGTAGGAAATGTAAGTAAAAAGTATTTTAGAGCGCAGGTGGTCGCTGGTTAGGGGTGTGCAAGGGACAGAAAAAATTGGCATAAAGGGGAGTTTCCATGTTGGGAGGGTTGGGTTTGTCTTGCGATGGATGAATTTGTAAGAAATTTGTATCATTTTTAATTTTGTATTTATTAATAATAAAAAAATGAAAAGATGAATGATTCTAGACATTCCATACCTTCTCATATCTAAAAAAATAAAGATATAAAATTACTATGTGCAGTTATTTATCTGATATTCACTTTTTTCATATTAAGAGGATCATACCAATAACATAATAGCATGTAAAAGATTTTTCATATAAAAACACATGTATAATTACTTTCAACCAACACCGCAAAACATGAATTTTTTTTTAATAAACACTCATAATCGCTAACTGTGATTGTGTAAAGGTTCCATCACGTCAGCTTTTCAATTTATTAAATTTTGCATATTTGGAATGTGAATGCGACTTGTAAGTGCCACTTTTCTCATACAAAATATGTGTCACTTAGTGTTAGCTTGATATGTAATTTGCTTTGATGTGGTTCGCAGTCCTGGACTCGTGGTGGGTAGTAAGTCAAGTTATGAGCTAATAAATCAATAATATAACTTTGGCGACTTAATTTCTTTCCTTCATTGACATTAATCAACTCACCCATATGACCTTTCTCTTTTGGTGCAAAACCTCTCTATGTTCCAACATCACAAAATATACGATGCTTCTCATGGCTCCAATTTTTTATACAACAGATATTACTATAGCATAGGAATGGCAATAGTTCGGTTTGGAAACAAAAATATTACATTCACCCTCATAATCATGAAAATTAACCATATTCATAACCGCAAATTAACCATCGGTTACCCACTGGGTAACGGATTTCCATCAGTTGACGGTTATATCCATCTTCATCAGTACAAAAAATATATTCGGTCAGTTGACGCATTATAATTTAGTAGATATTAACATTGATTTTGAATCAAAACTTTTGAACTTTCCCACAAATGCAACTTTTGTATTCTCAAAGTAATGAGTTCAGTGAATAATGAGTGTGCAAATATATGTGTATTATATATAAATTATATTATTTATTATTCGGATTGAATCTGAATATAGATACGAATCGGGAACCTCTATAACCATATCCAAAATCATAACAGAATAATATTCATGGTTTTTCCTCATATCCAAAATATACCTAAATTTGATACCCAAATCCATTCTAGTCGGATGGTTATCCACGGTCATTGAGTTTAACGGTTAAAATTGTCATCCCTACTATAGCATGCTACACAAAGAGAAAAAATTTTGAATTTAAAATGCAATAATTTGAAGAAGGAAACCATATCGACCAGAATGATCATCACTTACTGCTCTAATGGCTTTGTTCAAAAATTAAAGAAATACTTAGAGTGCTTCAACAAGCAATATTACTAAATGCATAACTACCAAAACCTACATAAATAAAAAAAGCATTAAACATGCCCTAAAGAAAGGGAGAGAGGGGGCCATATTTGTTCTGACTGCATCAAACCGATAGTTCCATTTCAACTAGAAATAAAGATGTAATGGTGAAGTGTCCCGCAAATTAATTAATTGATGTCAATCGAGGGGCATGCTTATCCAAAATCCAAAATTAGTGAAATGCCCTATTATCCCAGAAGCACCATTTGATTATCGTCATTTTTTCAACAAATTCTTAAACTCTTGTAAATTATAACACATAATTCAGTCTTATTTTCAACAGATGGATCATAATCTTGGACGTCGGATTGCCACATGACAAAAGGTTACTCGCAGTGCTTTGCCTGCGGGGATAAAGGACCTGGTGGACACTTTTGGTCCATCCACTACAAACTAACAAATATACTACACATTTTGGGTATATTATTAACAACTTGGCTCAATCAACAAAACGTGCCATATTAACTTGTTATTCATCGAAATGCCTAATCAGTTATTTTCACTCTTTTTAATAGGTCTTGTATTTCATAGACCTAATCGCGGTATGATTTAAATTCAACGATACTTTTTTTTCTCAATATTAAAATAAATTCAGTTATGTGTCTAAAAACCTTCATCTCCCATAAGTATATAAAATAAAACAGAATTTATGATATTTTGATTTATCAAGCTTTGTTATACACAATTGTGCAATAGTATTTTAAGTTTCATCTATGAGACTTATATTAGTCAACGATAGTTCGTCACAATGCAAGTGACTAATGCAAGGTTTCTCGAGCCACATAAAAGGTTGTATAATATGCACCTTGCTCAGCAATCCAAATTCATGATCCTCTTCGGATCCAAAGGATCTGAGCATGCGGATCAAGTGATCCGGACTGTCCAAATTTGATCCAATGGCAACAATTATTATAACTTTTAGAGGGGCTCTCTGTTTGTAGCAGTTGAATTAAATTTCGACGGTCCGGATCACTTAATCCGCAAGCTCAAATCAAGTGGATCCGGAGAGGATCCAAATCCGTCCCGAAAAATGCTTGCTACATAGCAGCTGAGAAACGAAGACGCATCTAATACTGTCGTCTTCTTATTCCCCCAATAAATTCCATCCAACAAAAAAAAGCGATTGTTTGTCCTAATTCTATGACGAGGCATTAACTTCTAAATATCCGATGTCTGGTCACTTTCACTGTCACAATTTTTCTCGAGTTGCTTCGATGGCAAGGCGGTGCTCGACGGCCATTTGGCCATTCAACGAAATTGTGTGAATGCTATTGGCTGACTCAAGCCACACCTGCCCTGGTGTAGTTAATGGCAGGAGCAGCTATCAGACTCTGGGTTTGTATTATTCTGGTTAAATTCATCTGCATTTATAGCCACCATGTGTATGCATCTACCAAAACACACAAAACTTATAAAAGTGCCAGATCATACATAATATGACACTGAAAGAAGACTAAGCAAGCAAAGATTTTGTTTAACTCTACAACAATTACCCAACAACTTGCAACTGGAAAAGGATTAGCTTCGGATAATCCAGGTCGACCAATCGCAAGATACCAAACGATCTCAACGGGGCAAGGCAGGACCCACACCATGAAAGCCGACTTGACGGGAGCTAAGATGGTTTGGATGGCCTAGTTAAGCAACTTGGCATCGAGGAGAAACACGAGAAGAGGGACCATTCTTGCTTAATCTACCGACTTGGGACTAACGGCAACAATTATAATGAGGCTGAGGACTTGGCGTCGATGGGGAAGACAATGGGGACCCTCCGCTGAACTGAGTACTAGTGTACTAGTTTAGGCTTAATGCCAATCAGTAGCACTAATCGGATATTGCA